CCTTGTTACATATGTGAAGTATGAAGCTCTTGCCCAAACCGTTCATAAGTTGTGGCCAAGGTTAAAGTTTTCAAAAAGTAGGTCAAACTCCAAGGTCAAAGTCAAAGGGTCAAAGTTGTTGGTATTCAATCAAATGAAAGGTTTACTCACAAGGATTATATATTTGAAGTATGAAAGCCCTAGCCCTCACCGTTCAAAAGTTATAGCCAAGGTTAAACTTTTTTCATAAGTACGGAAATCGTCAAGGTCAAAATGTCAAAGTTGTTGGTATCCAATAAAAAGATCTTGCAACAAAGAATATATACATATGTGAAATATGAAAGCCCTAGTATCTACCATTCAAAAGTTATGGCCAAAGTAAAAGTTTGAAATTTTTGTGTAAAAGTGGGTCAAACTCCAAGGTCAAGGTCAAAAGGTCAAATTTGTTGATACCCAAAGAAAGGTCTTGTCACAAGGAATACACATGTGAAATATGAATGTCATAGCTCCACTAAATCAAAAGTTATAAGCAAGATTAAAGTTTTTGTGACGGACAGACAGCTAGACTGACAGACTGACAGACGAATGGGATTTAATGTCCCCTCGCTTTAGCGAAAGCGGGGGACAACAAACTAACAGAAACAGAGATTAGGATACCAATTACCAAACATGAGAATGGAAAGTCATCTTCATCGACTATGAAAAAGCATTCAATAGCGTGAACCGAGAGAGACTGTGGAATATACTGAGGTACTATGGAGTACCCGAGAAGACTGTCTCCTTCATTCTAAACACAAATCAAGGCATGTTATACAGAGATTCGAGGTCAAGACAGGATTTCGACAAGAATGTTTGATCTTCCTCTTTGTCATTGACTGGATCATTAGAATTACCACAACAGGCATTTACAATGGTTAACAACTGACGTTCCTGACGCAACTTGACGATCTAGACTTTGTCGATGACCTGACACAATCACAGTCAGGCAGTCAGATGCAGGATACAATGAAACAACTCGCCTCTTAACAACATCAACAGGACCGGGACTCAAGATCAATTTGAAGAAAACAGAAGTGATAAACACCACTGTCCAAACACCAGTCACAGTCGGTGGTGAGTTCAGCAGAAAGGTTGGGCCCTTATCTACCTGGGGAGTGTGATCGACAGACAAGGTGGTACAGACTGGGTGGTACAGACTGTGACATGTCAAGAATTGGCAGGCAAGAAATGCATTCACAAAGTAATACATGTAGAATGTCGGGGCCTCAGAGAACATTTGCATTACTTCGATCAAAACTGCGGATCATCAACTCTAATATAAAGTCCGCCCTTTTGTATGGTGCAGAAACGTGGAGGTTGCCCAAGGCAACCATGCAGAAGATCCAGACTCAGGCGCATCTTTAACATCCGATGGCCTGAAAGGATCACAAATGAAGAACTCTGGAAGAGAGTAGGGCAGAGGAAATGGGGCTGGATTAGACAAACGCGAAGGAAGCCAACTTACTCCACCTCTGTTGATTTTTCGACGAAATCCTGGCTTACGATTGGTTGAAGACTTTGAAGTCTGTCACGCGAAGGAGGTGGATTACTTATATCCAGTCAATTGTTAGTTAATACCCAGTCGATGTAAAATTCTTTTGAAACACTTTGAACAACTCGAAATTCACGAGGTTAAATTTGTCGGGTGTCTGCAGTTGACAAAGTTAAAGTTTGAAAAATAAAAAAGGTGAAAAATAAAATTTAAAGTTTAAACAGATGAATAATAAATTATATTATAGATTTAGTTTTAACAAGAATAGATATGGGTTAACCCATATCCAAAGATATTCGACTTTTAGATTTAATATGTTTAAGAGTGTTTCATGACTTTTATGAAAATAAAACTGCACTTTCTAGTTATAGACCTTGTGTAAATTTCGTGAGTCCGTAGCATTACGGTCACCCAGTCTCCTATAATAAACAGTACACATACCTGTGTCCGCAAGTCCAGTTAGCCTTGGTCTACACACTTGCGATGGAGTTGTCAAACGGACTCCCGCGAACAGAGAAGTTACGATGGCAGACAGAACTTTTTTTCATAATTAGATCACATGAATACACAAATTCTGATTAATAAAAATTAAACGATTGTCAGTTTAGAAATCCCGGCCCAGTTCGGGTTTTGTTACACATTTTATAGTGTGAACCAATGAGAAGGAAAATAGTCTTTTCTTAGAATTTATTTAACAGTTTTGAAATTATCAAAGAGTACAAACAATGATCGTATAGTGGTTAAGAGCAAAGATAAATCGTAGATCACCGTAGATAGTATTTATAATATACAATACATAATAGTCATTTGCATATACGATAAACAAGTTATTCAATAAATGGGTCTAAATCCTGGAATTTTGACAAAACAATTTATAATCTAAACATAAGTTTTTGTAAACTGGTGGTCAGTGTCCTTGTATTAGGTAAAAGTAAGTATAACTGTAATATAAACTTTAATAATGTTCATTTATTGTTCCTGGATTGATGTCTGAAGATAGATAAACATCCTGGTATGTTATATAGTCTTTAATCCGATTAACTTGTTTATTTACTTTTACGGAAAAGTCTTACACTTCTGTATCCTTCTTGAATTAGAGGTCAATGCACTCGATAATAAGTACATTGTAAATAATTGATAATGTTTACTTTACTAATTAAAATATTTGTCTCAAACCCTATAGGTTTACAATAGGTACGCTCTCTATGTGTAGTTTGTCTACACACGTGCAGGAATCTGCTCAGGGATTGAAAATTCTGTTAATAAATTATATTACAGACTTAGAATGATTTTTTTTTTCTCTAAGAGGAAACTATATGATGATTAACGAACAATTAACATGATTTTACTATAGTTGTTGATATAGTATTTAATCAATTCATCGGTGAAAAAATATCAACCGAAGAATGACCTAGACATTCTCTGTTATCAAACATGTTTTTTAAAAAAAGCTGAGGAGGAAGGAGGGAGCGAGCGTAGGAATATTAACATTTTTTATTTGCATTTGGGGGGGAAAGTGATCTTTGGAGGAAAAATTTACATTAATCGTAGTTTCTTTTACGTATGACATACTCAACATTATTCTTATCGTGAACAATTATGTTGTATCTACTTATTAATGATGGAACTATTTTCGTCGAAATAACTTGTGTGAGTCGCCGCTGACTATAGTAATATATCTAGAACAGATATAGTAAGCACTGATCGAATATATTAAAAACCTTATCGAGCGTTCTTTTAAAGGGGGTATGATTGTATTGAAATCGATCTTGAGACAGACACTGTGTGGATATAAAATCATATTTTGTTATACCTTTAAAAAATTGTTCCTATACAATTGTATGCGAAAAAAAGTCTAACATTTTTAATGTTTTGTTGAGCGGGCATAAAAAATCGACGTGGACCGCTGACTGAGATGTTGGACCGCTCGGAGAGATGTTGGACCGCTTACGTCACAGAATGGGCGGAGCTTAATCTCATTTTCATTCGTTAGTGTTAAATAGTGACAGGCCTGATATTACATCACGGAATATGGTACAAAATACATATATGTCCAAAAAAAAAATAATGAAATGAAAGGTACCATAACAAAACATTTATTAACAGAGTTCTCGGGCAAAATGCGTTTTGTCGGACCCTCGAACCAAACTGTCTGCCTTCGGCCTAGCGGCCTCAGGCAGACAGTTTGGTTCTTGGGTCCGACAAAACGCATGTTGCCCGAGAACTCAGTCAATAAATGTATATTAATTTCCATTGCATTTACCATCTCATTTAAACTGTTTGTTTGCTCGGCACTTAACAACAGTTACTGAAGATTTTTCGTACCCCCAAAGAATCAACATTTGGCACCTTTTTATTATAGAACGTTAACTTTAAACAACATCAACACACTAAATTCAAATATTAAATAAGCTTTCTCTTGGATCTAAACTTGACAACATATTTCATATTTTGGGGGATCTTAATTTCATACTTTGAGTAGATGAAATTAAAAAAAAAAGGGACGATCCATCTTGAATTTTTAAAACTCACACGTAATTTTATCGGAATGAAAAACATGTACATGTGGTCAGTAGATTGATCGCGGCCATGTGCTTATCAGCTGATGAGGATAATTGCTGCTTATTTATAAACATTTGCACTGTACTATTATGGACACCGCGCCTACAGTGACCTACTGAAATAGGTCATTATCAGTTGGCTTTCATTGACCCTGCGGCCATTTTCCAAACATACACGCATGCACGTGGGGATATTTAATACGGTTAAATTTATTATATTGAACACATTAAATTTGCCAGATTTGAATACACTTTCAACAAGAATTTGTTATGTTTCTTTGATGAACTGATTACATGTAGCCATTGTTGGATTTCCTTGATTAATCGACGTAGATAATCGATAAACTGGTGGCCGCAAACACGGGATATAAGGTAAGAAAGTTAACTAACCCAAGATAGTTTTCAAAGCAAGCCAGATAATTGCACGTAATATCAACAATTCTAAAATTAGCCCGGTATACACATTTTATTACTTTTTGCAATCTATCCCCGATTGACCTCTGACCCAACGTGACGCCGGAGAGTGCACACATGCTTTTCTTTGTTTATTGTGTTACAGTGTGCATGTACATGTTAACAATGTACATACGAAATCGAGCACAGGTGGGACAGCATTTTCAGATTTTTGTGTCCAAGAAATATACAAACGCTCTATAATCTCGCTATTCCTTTATCTTAACTCCATTTGATTTTCATGCAGTTATGCGAATCCACGTCGACTGTTTCTGCACGTGTTTTTCTCCGTGAACTTTTCGTAATCTTGGGACCAGGGTTCTGTATATCAAAAGTAGATCTCTTAAATCTCAAGATAATAAAGTACCCCCCTCACTTAGAATCGCGCTCATTTACACTTTCAGAGGAAATGCACGGGTAAACTGTTTTTATCTTTATCTTCTACGATAATTTTTCTACACAACCATATCTGGCATGCCTGTCTTTATTTTTTTTTTATCTCCATAATCATCGTCAAAACTCTGCTCGCCGGTTGGAAAGTCAAACTCAACCATTGAATGGTATCATGTTCTAGTCTTGGGCAAAGAGCAAAATTAAAAAATCAGTGGTTTTAAAAATTCAATTCCATTGTTTAAATATTGCAATGAGTAAATAGAACTGGTTTTCGTTTGATTTTCCCTGAAAACATCTGATGTAATTTTAGAAACATGTTTTTAGCCAATCAAAATCTCTGTGCGGGATCAGCACATACCGTTCCATGGTTGAGTCGACTTTTCCAATTGGCGAGCAGAGTTTTGACGCTGTTTGCGGAAATAAACGGAAACAAGTATTAGCTTTCCTGAAAAGCTTGTCTGAAGTGGTTTGCTTAAAATCATAAAACGGAAAGGAATAATATATTATGTTATATAATTTCTTTCGTTCTATAATATATCTTCAAGAGACCATGCGTAATCAATATTGTATACAATAACTGTACAAAGAACTTTAAATTGAAGCTCTAGCTGGCTCCAGGATCATGAAACAAACTAAAACTTAACTGAAATTTTTAATCGCCGATAAAATATTTATTAATTATGGAATTTATTTTTTCATTTGCACATACCAACATCTCTGTGAAACAATATTAAAAATATTCCTAAACCTAACCCTTCTGGTCTGCTTGACTTTTACAACAATTTATTATAAAATAAAGATTTTGATCGACTTAGGATTAAGATGTTTCAAGATCCCGGGTCAGCATTTTTCAAGTAATTTCAAATTTTTTTTTTCAACTAAAGATATGTTTTATATCTTAAATGACTTAACTGATTTTTTATTCAACAAACAAAGTAAAATGAAGGTTGTAAATGATGAAATCAATGGGAAGATCTTTGATCACTTAATGGGCACGTATAACCCTAACCCCAATCCTAACGATAACAATCTTGGCAGAGCGTTACACATGCTGACCATTCCCCTGCTGTTGTTGAAAGCTTTCATTGCTTCTCAAACCATTTGATGTACAATGATTCTCTACTTAACACTGTTACGCAATTGATTGATGAAATTCTGAACTGAAGCATCTGGGAAAGAAACAAGAAGGTGCATATTAATTTAAAATGTAATATCGTCCAAAATATAATCGTTTGATAGGAGTGAAGTATAACACTTCAGCAACATACAAATCTATTTACACAATACAGAATAAAAAGCGAACTTGAATATTTGTTAAGGAAACTGAAAAGGCACCAAAAATTTTGATAAAACATTATAGTGATGTAGTGTGTTTCCTTCCTGAAGTTGACCATGACAGTGACGACGAGGCTTGACTCATTAAATAGCCAGTTTTGACTATGACTATGCTCCTATCAATTGACATATTGACACTGTTTGTATGATTGTATTTAAATTGTGTATTTATTTCATATAAACATGTGCATTTATCCTACCCTTTTCTAAAAACTTTTACCTACCCCATGCATTGCTACGGGTTTCTACTTATTGTTCACTTACCACTCATTCTCCAACTATTCTTCACGTTCACTTTTCTTGTTTCTTACTATCCCTCTTTTCTCTCACTACAGCATCGCACAGGCGCGTAGCCAGCATTGAAATGAAGTGTACGCAGAAAATGGTCGGGGGTCTGGGGGCCGCCCTGAGGCCCCCAGTGGGTCCAGGGCGAAGCCCTGGTGGGGGACCAGGGGGTAAAGCCCCCGGAATCTCCTGGATTCTACGAAAATTTTCATTCCTTCAAAAGAAATCACGCTACATCTCTTTTCACAAGCAAACACTTGGCTATAAGTTATACTTCCATGGATACTTCAGGAAGAGAAGGATAATTTGATCAAATTAATTTACGAATATATTGGTATTGGAAAAAAAGTTTCCAAGTGTGACAAGATAAAACAGAGAAGTAATTTAATAAGTTATCATTGGAGTTAAAGTATTTCAAAATATAAACGGGGGTGTGGGTCTTTTGATAACCTTTATATTCTGATAGCTTAAACAATGTGAGAGTACTTAAATTCTATAAATTGGTAAAATCAGTAAAAGAAGATATTCATAAATGATCTATATTTTCAGGCGCGTAGCCAGCATTGAAATGAAGTGTACGCAGAAAATGGTCGGGGGTCTGGGGGCCGCCCTGAGGCCCCCAGTGGGTCCAGGGCGAAGCCCTGGTGGGGGACCAGGGGGTAAAGCCCCCGGAATCTCCTGGATTCTACGAAAATTTTCATTCCTTCAAAAGAAATCACGCTACATCTCTTTTCACAAGCAAACACTTGGCTATAAGTTATACTTCCATGGATACTTCAGGAAGAGAAGGATAATTTGATCAAATTAATTTACGAATACTGGCAGTATATTGGAATTAGAAAAAAAGTTTCCAAGTGTGACAAGATAAAACAGAGAAGTAATTTAATAAGTTATCATTGGAGTTAAAGTATTTCAAAATATAAACGGGGGTGTGGGTCTTTTGATAACCTTTATATTCTGATAGCTTAAACAATGTGAGAGTACTTAAATTCTATAAATTGGTAAAATCAGTAAAAGAAGATATTCATAAATGATCTATATTTTTATTTACTTTGTTCAGTAATTTGAATTTTGCCATTTTTTTGTTTATCAATATCTATTCATTACTTCAATGGAAATTCTTGTATAGTCGTCCAAGACCCTTGTAACTTTTTCTTTAGATCAATGTCACTTAGATCGCTTTCCTTCATTAAATACATGTATTTGTCCGGATAATCAGGATTACGCGGATTAACAGTTGAAAATTTTCGTTCAACGCTATTTTCTTACTCAAGAATTTTATTTTGGAATTCATTTTGTAAAAGACTGGATTTTAACGATATTCTGAACAAAATTTGAATAGAAACAATAAGACGTAAAATAATTTGAAAGACAGATAATGCCTCTTTTTCTCCGAATAAATCTCTCTCTTTCTTTTTTATTCTTTTTTTTTTTTTTTTTTTTTTTTTTGGAAAATGATGTGTACGCACTTGCGTACTTGCGTATAGGCAGCTACGCGCCTGTCGCACCATAGCGCCCTCCTTTTACGCTTTGTTTACTCAACCGTTACGCTTTATGAATGAAGTCGACATTCCTGTCTGCCGTTGTAACGTTGAATTTTGACCCGGGTTGAAAATTGACCCGGGGGTCATTTTTCAACGTTGAATACTGAGACTGAAGGTGTTGAATTAAGACCCTAATCCGTTGAAAACTGAGCCGGGTCGTGGAATTTTGATCATGAAACCGGTTCAAAATTCAACAGCATAAAAACACATATTTATGATATTGTTTTCACTACCGTGATTTAATTCATAGGTATGAGGCCCCGTTTTGGTATTTACTGCAAAAAGTAATATCCCCTATTTGAATAAGTGATATCACCTATTCCAATAGATGATATCACCTATTTGATTTGAATTTGTGATATCACCAATTCGAAAAGGTGATATCACTTATTCGATTGGGTGATATCACCTTTTCCCGTCGAACATCTGTAGTTTTTTTTTTTTTTTTTTTTTTTTTGTTTTGTTTTTTTTTTTTTTGCTTACAAATTAATTTATTTCACTTATATATCATGTATACAACAAGAAAATCGTAGAAAATGCATGAAAACTGGGTAGTCCGAATTTTCTTGGTTCCAGTGTAGTATAATGTATATTATAGGGAGCATTCATTAATGACTGTTATAAGAAACTCAAATAGGTAATATCACCATTTCGAATAGGTGATACCGGTACCACTTATTCAAATAGGTGATAGCATCTATTTAGCACGAAAAGGTGATATCACCTTTAATTCTAAGCTCTCTGATTGGCTCAAACTTGATCACATGATTAAGTATATAACAGCATAAAGACTTGAGTTACTATTTATAGAATCTGAAATGCATATTGACTTCATGTTTTTTTTCTTGTGATCATATAGTTTACTATATTGCAGGAGTCCTTTTACAAAATTTCATTAAAGTGAGCGACACCCCCCTCCCTACCTGGAGATAATTTTTTGTAAAACAGAAATAGTATTGATTTCTCAATTAAAGATAATACAGAGTATGACTTGATGTTTCTGAAAAAAAAAATTACTACAACTTGTATTAATATTTTTTAATGTTGCGTAATTGGTGAAACGTATCAATGCCTTTAAGTCTTGAATTAGGATCAAAATGTACTTTATATTAAAACATATTGGATATCTTTGTCAAAAATTGCTACAAGACATAATCAATTAAATAAATTAGTATTCTGAATAACTAAATCCTCTATAATTACTCAATCAATGTATAAAACGAAATACATTTATTTAATATTAAATAGCAACAGCTTAATTTATGCTGATCTCTAGTCTCAAAGTCTTGAAGAGAGAAAACTTCTGCCTTATTCCCATTTTTTAAAAAAATTTGTTTTGTCAATCTATGTGATAAAATGATT